TAATGAAGCCAACAGAGAGCCTTCCCAGAAGTCACTCGCACGTGGAGAAACAGGGACTGGGTGAGTGCACTCAGCCTCCCCCTGTCTCAGCAGGGGTGCCGACATCATTTATAATCAGTGGTCTAGTTGGAAATGTTAGCATATTATGAAAGTATATCGAAGTGAAACATGATGTCATGACAAGTGCAAGGAGGGAAGGAGACAGAGTTTAAAAAGAGTAAAAATAAAGGGAAGCGAGAGTCTCTCAGTGATTCTGCCACTCTGGCCCAGGGGGAGCGACTGCTGGGCCTGGGGATTAGAGTATGTGCTCCCTAGAAAGCTGTGCTCGCAGATGATTGCTGAACTCTCTCCCCGTCTGGATTCGGTGTGAATACTCTGTGCTTTGGAAAGGCAGCCTGACTTCTTTCCTTTTTATATTTTAAAATAAAAATAATTGCTTAACACATGAAATCCAAAAGGAGCAAAAGAATATAAAGAAATTTAGGTCTCTCTCCTGACTCTGTTGCCTGGTTCCACAGTTCCCCTTTCCAGAAGCAACTCCTGGTACCCGGCTGTTATGGATCCTCTGAAGAGATTCTTGGCATTGAAAAACAGCTTTGTATATATTTCTATTTTTATATTTTTCACATAAGTGATACCGTACTGTGCATGCTCTTTTGCACCTTGCTTTTTACAAATTTTTAAGTTCAATTTATTGGGGTGACAGTGGTTAATAAAATGATACAGGTATCAAGTATACAGTTCAGTAATATGTCATATATATATATTGCATTGCATGTTCACCACCCAAAGTTAAATTTCCTTCTGTCACTATTTATTTCACCCCATTTACCTTATCTACATCCCCCCTCTTTTTTACAGTATATTTTTGAACTTATTCCTTATTAGTACATAGAGAACCGCCTTATTACTTTTTAACAGCCACAGAATTTTCCATGTTATAGATGTATCATAATTTATCTAGTTTCCTATTAATGGCAATTCAGATTAATTTCCAATCTTTTGCTATTACATACTGAACAATAAATATCATGAACATACTTCATTTTGTATGCAGGTTATGTTTGTGCAAGAGAGAGAGACAGACAGGATGAGAACACAGGAGTGGAATCGAAGAGTCAAAGGATATGTGTGTTTAAAGAGAATGTTTCTCTTCCTTCTTGAAATGCATGTCAGCTGCTCATTTGTGAATAGATGGAGCTGGCCTGTAAACTATACGATGGGAGGAAACCAAGCAGAGATACCATTATATATGCTTTTTGTCTCCATTCTAACAACGCTATGAGGTATGGAGTTAAGTAATTTCTATATTTTGTCCAAGAAAGTCAAGCTCATCAAAGTGCTGGCAATATCAAAATAATTGAGCAACTCTTATCAGTCTCTCAGGTACCCTACTACAGGGAAAGGTTGCATCTGCTCTGGATAAAGGATGGAGATATTTGGTCTCTCGAAGTAAGTATCTTTCATGATAAATAACCTAAATAACTTTTTGGTCCAAATCGATCTTAGGGGTAGGCTCAGGATCCTCTGCTGGGTCTGGCTCAGCTTGAGCAGAGCTGAGACAGCACACCTGGGCCTGTTTCCATCCCACCAGGTTCTGCGATGCCCTGGGGCTCTGAGATGATTCAGCTGAGCCACCCCCAAACACAGAGTTTCCCAGATTCTAGAGCAATTAGGTACCTGCACGCCCACATCCGAACACAAGAGGACTTTTGTTCCCAAAGGCAGGGCCTTGGGAAGCCTGCTCTATTCACCTGAGTCCCTCCTCTGCGGTGTGGGAAGATGATGAGATAGAAAGGAGCCCCGGCTCTGTGCATGATTAACATCACACTGGGTCACTGGGTTTAGCCTTGGGCTGCCACCGGGTAATCAGGCTTTTGATCAGCAGCTCCTGTTTCATTTCCTCGTTCCTCGGGGAGCTTCTACCCTGAACCTGGCATGAAGCCCTTTCCCTCTTAGCTTCCCAGATTGTGAGGAAACAAAAGCTGTTCACACTGTCCCCCCAAGTCAGCCCCTTAGTTGGAACTGGTGGGGTGGTCTGTAGACCCCCAAACCCAGAGAGTGGCTCCCATGGACACTTCCAGGACTGACTTATCAAATTTCTCAAGACCCTTTTGGGCTGTCTGGACAAATGCTCCTTTCAGGTGCTGCTTCTGATTTTCAAGCCTTTCTGATCGACTGGTTTGGTCCCTAGTAATTTCAGTCTTTCTCAGGGAATTCCAGGTTCTAAGGAGGTGCCCTGGGCTGCTAAGGAGAGCCTCTTTACCCCAGTTCTCCAGCTCACCCTAAAAAAAAAAAGGTGTGAACTA